GTTTGCGGTACGTTAAGTACTGGATCACTTGCTTGGATCCAGGTTTGTTTGCTTGGGGTTGTGCTGTTTCACAGGTGATCGTTTTTCCATCTTCTTTCTGTGTTATGAGCCATTGATAACAAATTTCACATCGTGAAATAATATTCTTTTGGTGTTTTCTTAAGCAATTACTTAAAAACGTAGTCTTAGCCATTCTTAGCTTGCAACCATAGAAAACCCAAACTGGGCCAGATTTCCGTACTCTGGGCCATGGTTTCCTGGTGCCTGTTCTAAGGTCTCCATCCTGCAGTTGGATGTGGTTTGTCTGCAAGGGTTTGTGTGTGGAGGCTTAGTCACTAGTGTGGGAGTGTGAGAGTGGGGACCCTCATAAGGTGGGTTCTAGTGGGAAGTTCTTGGCGCTGGGAGCTCTGGCCAAGAAGGGAGTGGTCCCAGGCTTGCTGAGTGAGTTATCTTGGGGAGCAAGTTCTTATAAAAGCCAACCCTGACTCCCCCCATGGTTTCCTGTCTTGTCGTGCTGTGCCTTATGTGTTACCACATGGTGCCATCGGTCATGTGCCCTTCAGCAGAGGCTGCCTGATTTTGGACTTTCAGCCTCCAAAATCTGACCCAAATAAAACCCCTTTTCTTCACACATTATCCAGACTCAGATGTTTTGTTATAGCAGTGGAGAACAGACTCATGGTGTACCTAAGAGGGAGGGAAACTGTGTAAACCATGCGGTACCAAAGTACACAGCAGCTGTAGATCGTTTTCGAAAGTCCTCCTGTCTCCAGTTGTGTCTACACAGCTCTGTTTCCTGAGGCTGGGGCCTTTAAATAAGGTCACTGTAAAAGAAACCTGGGCTCTTAGAAAATGATTGAAGCAGAAACCCTACAAGGTGAGCAAGAAAATTGCAGCAGCCCATCTGCTGGGATCCTAGCAGGATCCTAGCAGGGCTAGGGACAAACTTTGCAGAGGCCCTGCTGGCCCAGGGTAGGGTAGTGTGCACACACCACTGGAGCGAAACACAACGGAAATTGAGACCCACTCACTTCTAATGATGCCTCCAAAAAATGGTGACTGGCAGAGAAGGCTAGTGAGCCAACCCAGGTTCTTAACCAGCTGGTGAAGACAGACCTAAGTGTCTGCCCTCAGTTTCCCCTGTGACCGGAGCTGGTTTACCAACTAGTAACCGTGAGAGGCTTTTTCTTCATAAAAGTACATTAGGTCAGCGCTGAAGGAGGACGTGAGTATCAGCAGCCTGTGGCCCCTGGTGCATCATTTCTTTTTGCCTGTGGACCTTTAAAGATTTTTATTCAGTCCCCAGTGGACTCAGGCAAGTGTCTGATGGGAGGTGTTGGGATTTCCCCTGAGGCTCCAGGCACCATGACCAGAGCACTGGACTCCATTTATAATGGCTGAATTAGGTGGTGACCTCCCATGAGTCACTCCTGGGAAACGGCCTGCTCCAAATTACCTGTCTCTGTAACAGGTAATGGTACCACCTCGCAGAGTGCTTGGGGCTCCTGCTTATTAAGTTGAGCACTGGCTAGCTATTAAAATGCTTCGAAAACTGTGAAGTAAAAACTCGGGAACATGCTGCAGGACGCCAGATGTCTTTAAACAGTGTCTTGGGGGCCTGCGCCACGTACCCTGAGCTTCTAATCCTCCCCACAGTGTCTGCATAGATGGTGACGCGCCTGTCACTGGGGATGTTTTGTGTGGAGGGCGATTGCATTGACTGCTCGTGCCTGAGTGCTGGCAGCTGGGCCTGGGAGGGAAACTGGCTGTGGTTTCCTAACAGCCGCCACCCGGAACCTCTTCAGGCTTGGTTTCTGTGTGACTGTGGGATCCTGGGGATTTTAGTTGTGGTTCTGGGTTCTAGAATTTACTTCCTGTCTGTGGTCTGTGCAAACCCGCCTCCCCTCCAGCCTATGGTTTCCTTTCCTCGTTATATGGACGTTTTCCCTCACTGGTACATAGAGTTGGTTTAAAGCACAGTGCTTTGGACTGTCAAAAGAAAACACCAGTAAATTACAGTTGTGAAAGTGGTGATGAAGCAGGATCTGGGAGGTCTGCTCACAGGACTGTTGGGTCTCCAGGTTGAACAGCCCTGAGGGGAACACACGTGGGAGGGAAGCAACCCACTGCAGTCTCCTCTCCAGGAGGTACCCTGGGAGGGGCGGGCAGAGCCGATTTTAACCCGGGTTTTCCCTTCCTGTGCCTATCTGATGATGCCCAGAAGATGGCTTTGTAAGACAGATCATGGTGCTGGCCTTCAGGCAGGCCTGGCCCAACTTTACAGCAAATGTCCAGTGCTCGAAGAGTAAAAAATAGCAACGAAAACCAAAACTGGGTGTAAAAAAGAGAGGAAAAGGTAATTTAATACCATTTTTGTGGAATTTGGAGAAGGGCCCCAGGGTCCAAACTTCCTAAATTAACTGTGCTAGGCTTAGGCTCAAAGTTCAGCAGTTTTTTAAGTGTTCATAGTTAGCCTTGTGGAGGCGGAAGCCGGGTGTCGAGGGCTGGAACATGTTTTCCAAACCTGCTCCGAGAGTCTAGCTGTGCTGCTCTCTCTCAGAGCTCCAGGTGCATCAGTTTCCCCAGGTGTTTTGACAAACAAATGAAATAATGCTGTTTTATTAAATCTCAGCTGCAGTCAATTGTAAGTCACGATGCCACCAGTTAAACCAGCTTGGCTTTAAGTGTGATGCACCTGAGATTCAGAGATGTCAAGATGCGGTGGGAAGTCTGGGTGTGGTGGGGCACACCTGTAATCCCAGCACCGGGGACGCCAAAGCAGGAGGATCACAAGTTTCAGGCCAGCATGGGCTATCCATCACAAAAATGTGATGGATAAATCGCATTTAAAGACAATAAGATGTCGAGCACTTGGTGTGACAGTGCTTTGCTGTACAGTCCTCAGAAGTCATTTAATCTTCTTAATGTGAGTCTGGGGAGCAAGGCAGAGTTACTGACAACAAACGCCCTTGGGGAGGCACCCGGCAGACTGGTGAGAGCACTGCTGGCCCTGTCCTCGGCATCCATGGACGATCTTCTCTCAGCCTTTAGCGTCCCACGTGTGGGGAAGAGCGTTTACATAGGAAATTCTTGCTCTTAGAGGTTGCTTTTTATTCATTTTCCTCCAGAGTAGCTTTGAGAAAACTGCGAGATTTCCCCTTGTGCTCAGTGTGCAGAATCTCCTCTGTTCTAAACGTTTGATTTAGAACTTGAAGTTTCTTGACAGCCCTTCTAACTGTAACGCACGTGCTTAATTAAGCACACATCTTGGGAAAGCCTCTGCCTGCTGGGAGCTGATGGGATGGCAGCATTGCTCTCACAGGTGAACCTTTGGTATTGAAAAAGAAGTTACACCCCCCCACCCCCGTAGTTCATTTTAGGCTTCTGTAACCTTCACCGTGGGTGTTTTATATTCAAGAGTGTCTTCTGTGCACATGGACATTGGGTTTGTTTCCATAGCTTTACTTAAGGAAAAAATGTTGCTGTCATTAATCTGTCTCTCTCTGGCCTTTGTGTAGCAGACTACTGAATTAAGCCATAGACGAAGGTTTTAAGAGCTTGTTAACAAAACAAGCAGTGGAGACATAATAGTCTGCTCTAACAAAGGGAAGGTTTCAGAATTACCCTGGTTGAATTAAGGTGTTTTCTGGAGCTCCAGGTTCTTGATAGACAATAAGGAGTTTAGACGTTTATGCTCTAGGTAGGGCTCGGCCACATAGTGCAGTATCTGTTCAGTATGGTTTTTGTTTTTGGTTTCTTTTTTCATTTCATTTTTAAAGCAGCCCGTTAGAGATGTAAAAGTCTTCTTAGCTAGAGGTCTTTCTGCACTACAGCAGGCCACAGGCTGTGGTGAGTAGACCTCGTCCTGGTAGAAGCTCCTTACCATGCCAGGACAGGAAATAGAAGTGTGGAGTTTCCTGTTGTGCCAGAAAGTGAGAAGTTTTGGAGAAAAAAGAAAAGGACGGGCCTGGCAAAGGGAGCCAGCAGACAACTTGAAAGAGACCCAGTGACCGACGCTGGGACAGGTTGAGCCACAAAATAAACAATGGCAGCGTTTGCCTGTGCCCAAAGAACAAACATCCATGAATCCATAGCTCCATAAATAATGGCATATAATAAAAAAGTGGAGAAGGGACAGATTTCCTTCTAGAGGAGCTCGAAACAACAAACGAGGGAACTAGAAAATCCCCATGCAGGTGAATGTGGAAGGTGCTGTATAAAACCTGCAGGAGTGGGGCTGGGGGGTGGCTCAGTGGTAGAGGGCTTGCCTGCCATGCACAGGGGTCTGGGTTTGATTCCCAGCATCACACACACACAAGGGAAATGTGGCTTTACAGTGGCAAGACCACCTGGGTCATGTGGTCAAAGTTCACCCCAGCAGGAGCGGTCCTTGCCTTTGATGTGACACAAGATCAAGGGCAGGACATTTCATCCTGTGGCATTCTAGATTCTTCCCAAATATCTGTAATCTCATCATTCTGGGAAAACCTCAGGCTGCCTAACTTGAGGGACATGGAGCAAAGTAACTGTCCAGTGCTCCCTGTCAGTCGTTGGATAGCAAGACTGTGAAGCTGTCAGACTGCAGGAGATGGGCGGTGATGGTTAAACGTGACATTGGTGGCCTAGATTGAACCCTGCAAATAGGAAAGGTCTTTAGCAAAATCCAAGTACAAATGCAAGTCGTTAATAATATTGAACCAGTGTGACTGGCCTAATTTTGATAAATATGCCACAGGAATGGAGGAATTGAACATTAGTGGAAGCTGGGTGAAGGGTGTGTGGAAACTTTCTGCAGTGCTTTGCTAGATCTAGAATTCTTTCAAAATACATGGTTCAGAAACCAACCAGCTCCTTCCTGGATTGGCAGTCAGCCTTTCCTCGAGCTGTTAAGTGTTATTTTATTAGCCTTTGGTCCCACGTATGGCTAGAAGAAAACACTGGTTCAGCAGTTACAGCTGATTTTGGAATGGCGTGTCTTTAATACTTCTCTTTCTTTCCAGGGGAGGCGCCTGCTGCAGAAGTCCCCTCGTCATTTGTGGTCCTGTCTGTGTGCAGTTTAATGATCCTAATAGTGTTGATTGCAAACTGCATTTCCTGCTGTAAGGACCCAGAAATTGACTTTAAGGTGAGCACAGATGACGGGACATTTAAAGTCATCTCCGATCCATTTGTCAGGGGCATGGCCATGTGCCCAGTGTCTTGGGAGTGGGGCTCAGCAGAGTTGTTCTGTAAGGTCAGGTGTAATGCTGTCTGCCTGAGTCAGTAGTCAGTATTGTGGGTCATGTCTGTCACGGCCACCCCACCCTCCATCTGCCACTGCAACGCTATGTAAACAGTAGATGCCAGGAAAACTTGAGTTACAAAAATAGGTGCTTTGGATGTGGCCCTACCTGAATGCATGTGTGACAATAAACAACTTGCCTGTGTGAGGCTCGAAGTCCTTTTTAAGTGAGGAATAAGGTGTGATGATTGAACTCACTTGCTCCAGGGCTCGTACGGAACAGCAGGCTGGGTTTTTTCTTTTTGGATGGTATTGGAGTTTGAACTCAGGGCCTCACACTTGCTAGGTAGGCACTCTATCACACCCTCCAGCCTCTGTTTTGGGTTGTTTTTTTTTGTTTTGTTTTGTTTTTGTGATACTGGGATTTGAACTTGGAGCTTCTTACTTGCTAGGCAGGTGTTCTACCACTTGAACCACGCCCCTAGGGTCTCACCTTTTCCCCAGGTTGTCCTGGGCTGTATCCTCTTGTTTTATGCTTCCTGCTGTCACTAGGATGATAGGCATACACCGTCACACAGTTTTTCTTCAGTGAGTTGGGATTTTGTGAACTTTTTGCCCAGGCTGCCCTTGAACTGCAATCCTTCCAATCTCCAACTTCCAAGTAGCTAGGATTACAGGCGTGAGCCACTGCACCTAGCTTGGTTTTGTTTTTTCCAAACTTTTGTAGGTTGACAAGTTTGTGGTTGCTGCTCACTGAGGCACGGGGATCCCCAGTGTTTTGTAGATGAGGGTGAGTATGGAAGCCTCAGGGTTAGCTTGAAATCTTGACTCCCCAAAAGGGAGAAGAGCGCTGGCAACCGTAGAATCCAGGTCCAGGGAGGGAGAACAGGGGTTGGGGTCAGAGCAGCGGATGGCTGGACTCTCCCAGTAAGGTAGCTGGGATCTCCTGCCCTGGAGTTTACCGTGTGCTGTCAGCCTGTGTTAGGTCTCTAAATGCACAGGAGTATGCAGGGGAGAAAAGGAAGGGGTGTGACACAGAAACCGGTTCTTAATGTGGACCCCTTGGCTCTGTTAGGGCAGCCCTGGAGTCTTGAGGGCTGCTGGTTCTCACCAGAACCACCTTCTTGCTGGGTGGGTGGGCCTGACTTCTAGAGCCTTCCTTGTGTTTTGATTGTGTGCTGTCTCTCCACCTGGAGTCTATGGCAGCTCTGAGGACATAGGCGTTGAGCTCTCTTGGGCTCACACTGCATCACGCGCAGAGGCCGAGAACAGGGAAAGGCTGCAGAAGAAGCCTTGCCTGCCTGGCCACAGTCACCAGAAACCAGCTGGCCCTGAGTTGTCATATCTCTACTGCCACTTCTGTGGTACATGACCATCTTACTGGAGACATAGGAGAATCTGGGTCTCCTGGCGCTGAGTCTTGCTGAGGGACTTTGCACTGACACCTGGCCCTTTTGGGACAGAACTAAAGTCAGATCAGTGTTGCTGATTAGGAAGTCTAGCCTCTTCTTCTGTTTTCGTGACACCTCGTTCTTGCCTTAGATACCTCTCGCTATTTTGAATGTCAGTGTTGAGTGAGGGAGTTTATTGTGGCAGAGCTTCCAGGCTGGGAGGTGTGTTGGCCCTGCTGCCAGGTGACTGCCATGTGGGGCTGTGCTCTTTGGAGTCTGTCTGAGTGAGAGTCCTCACTGACACCTGGGCCTCGGTGGGCTCATTGGACTTAGAGCTCTGTGCTTTCGTCACTGACTGGCCCCAGGGCAGGCATTTTAGACTAGGAGCTGCAGTCTGGTTCACCCACAGAGGCCACTTTGACTTCCGAGTGACCCAGCCGAATGTCCTTATGTCATTATCACTGCACTGCATCGCCTCTGGGGATCATCAGAGGCTCTGCTGGCAGACATGCTGTGTCATGCTGCTGCCCTTACTTCTGCAGTGTGTCGTGGGCAGGGTCCCTTATGAGAGCTCAAGGAAAGTCCGAAGGAAAATCTAGCAGTTTCTTCTGTAGACACACCCTCCCCGGCTGAAGTTATGGCAGGGCATTTTCCTGCTCCCCTTCCAGACAGCAGAGACGTTCTGCAGTGCATTCAGGAGCACATGACACAGAAAACATAAATGTCAGAAATCGGCCGATAGAATTTTAGTTTTTTCCTTGTATTGGGAGGTAGGAGCAAAGCACGATGAAAGGAATGGTATCAGCAGACGACCCAAGCCTTGTGCACAGCAGCTGTTATAGGGCCCGGCAGGGCATGTGTGGTAGCTATCTGAATGAAGGAGAGGCCTGACGGTCTGTGTCCATGTTAAATTAACTACACCCCAGAGACACCCAGCTCGACTCACAGAGTGAGGACAGGATGGGTCAGGATAGCATTCCTCCCAACAGTCATTAGGACTCAAGTGTGGGACATTTGCCTAGCAAGCGCAATGCCCTAAGTTTGAGCCCAGTGCTGCCAAAAAAAGTGACAAGCAAAAAAACCAAAGGTCTTTTCTGAGTTTAACTGTTTGTATTCTGCTAGAGAACATTTTGAAATTAGAAATACATAGATGATTAAAAATGAGATTAATTTTTGACTCAATATGCAGAGATTTGTGAAGCAAATACTAACTGGAAGAGAATTTCTTATGCTCTGTAACAGTAAATAAAAGTAAACTTTTGTGCCTAGAAGACCATTTCCATGTTAAGTTCCTTGGTTTGAGAAAATTTTGCATTTAGTTTAAAGCTGTCAGCTTTTAAAGTTACATATAATATGTGTAATTCATTTTCAAAACTTATTTATTCTGCTCTTTGGAGTTAGGACAATTACTTATGCTTTTCACTTTAAACACTCATGAATGGGGGTGGAGGAAGTTTAAAGCAGTTTGTTCCAAATAAGCAAGTCAATGTTTGTATCCCAAATGTTAGCTACTGGAGGGTGGATCGATCAAAGCGTGCCATGTGCACATGTTGAAATACCACAGTGAAGCCCCTTTGCACAATCAGTACATTGTTAGGGATATTCTCACTACTGCTGTTGCCTTTGATTTTAGGAATTTGAAGATAACTTTGATGATGAGATTGACTTCACACCACCAGCAGAGGACACGCCCTCCGTCCAGTCCCCCGCAGAGGTCTTCACGCTGTCAGTGCCAGGCATCTCACTCCCAGCCCCAGCACAGCTCCAGCCTTCTGTGGGTAAGACCTACATCTGTGGTTTTTGTGGTCCTGGAGGTTTAACCCAGTGATGCCAGGCAAATGCTCTGCCACTTGAACCACTCCCCACCCAGCCCGAGACCTCATGTCCTAATGTCAGAGACAGGGTCTTGCTCTGCAGCACAACTGGCCTCAAACTCAAGATCATCCTTCCTCTGCCTTGTGCATGCTGAGATTACAGATGTGCATCACATGCTTGGCTTTTATCACGTTCTTTTTTTAAAGAAGTCAAAATTTAAAAGTGCAATTTAGAATTTTTTTTTAATGTTTTTAGCTTTTGCTTTGACTTTAAACCCATCAGCCCCCCTTCCCCCCCACCAAAAAAAAAAGTCAAACTATAACCCATCCCATCTTGAGTTGGTTTCTGAATGTGGAATCCAGGTTCAGTCTCCCTGTAGATGGTGGGTTTTTCACCTTTGTTCACTCTTTGGTCCTTCCTTTCCTCTCTGTATGTGGGTTTGTCCTTAGTGTTCTAATCTCTTCTGTTCTGGGACAATGAACAATCTCAGTACCCCGTCTATATTTTTTGTTTTGTTTTCTTGCAGTGCTGGGGATGGAATCCAGGGCCTGGTGCATCTACGAAAGAGCTGTAGCACTGAGCCGCTCCCCAAACCCCCATACCTTCCCTCCAGCATCATTTGCACACATTTTTCTCACCTTCTGTAGGCTCTTGTCACAAACTTTCTTAATATCATTCTGCAGTACATAAAAGTGTACGATATTGAGGAAGCCCAGTTTACCTGTTTTTTTTTTTTTTCTTTGCTGCTTAAGAAACCTTTGCCAAATCCAAGGTCATGAAGATTTGCCCTGTATCTTCTGTGAGTTTTACAGTTTTAGCTCTTACACTTAGCTCATTGATCCATTCTCAGTTCAGTTTTTTGTATGGCAAAGGGTAAGGATGTAATTCTTTGACAGGTGGACATCCAGGTGTTCCCACAGCAGTGTTTGAGAACACCATTCTTTCCCCCCACTGAATTGTCTTGGCACCATTTTTGAGAAGCATTCGCCACGTTGGTTTAGGTTCCCTTACGGGTGCTGTGTTGTTGCATTGGTCAGTACACCTGTTTTGGTGATGTGGCTTTAGTTTTGCAGTGTGCTTTGGTTTTGTTTTCCTTTTTGAGACTCTGTGGCTGTTCTGACCCCGTGCAGTTCATCTGAATCTTAGGATTAGCTTTCACATTTCTGCAGGATAGGCCATTGACATTTCATAGGGCTTGGTGCCACTGCTTTGATTCCCTTTTTTAGATATTTTCTTAGTGATTAAGGTAAAGGTTACAGTGAACTTCCTTAATTTATAGCAGTTAACTTTCAATTAAAACCCGCTTCAGCAGCATGCAAAAACTGCTCTGCAGCTCACCTCCTCCCTTTACCTTGTCTCAGGCTACATCTTCACCCATCCTGTATCCGTGAACGTGGACTTTGCAGTATTTTCAGGCAATCACATGGAAAATGAGCATGCACCAGCAGTATAGCCCCATTGGCTTTGAACTCACCTGGTGTGTTTACTGGAGGCCTTCGCTTCTTGCCTGGGCTCTGGGTTGCTGTGGCATGTTGGCAGCAAGCACCTAAACATTTGTGTATCTTGGAGTGTCCTGATTTCTCTTTCAGTTTTGAAAGATGGTTTTACCAGGTCTGCCTTCTTAGTTCTAGATCTTTCCTGTCTGCCCTTCCTCCTCTGATCCCATCCTCTGGTCTCTCAGTTTCCAATGAGTAATGGTGGCTGTTCTTATGAGGATCTCATGGGTATGATGAGTCGCTTCTGCCTTTCTGCTTCAAGGCTCTGGTTTTCTTTGCTTGGCTTGTGGTGTGTCTTGGTGCGCATCTTTTTGACCTCAGTGTTACTTGGGGTTTGGTAAGCATTTTGGAGGCACAGGCTCATGCAGCAGACTTGGGGCTAGCCATTGTTCATTTTCATATTTCTTTCTTTGGGAAGTCCCATGCTGACTACATTGATCCACTTGATGGTGTCCCCACGCTAGAGTACTGGCTCAGAAAAAAAAGTGGGTGTTATCAGTGTAGTGAGAGAATCAGTTACACTGCTCATTCAAAAATACTCTCAGTAGGACTGGAGGTGTGGCTCAAGCAGTAGAGTGCCTGCTTTGTGAGCGTGAAGCCCTGAGTCCAGACCCCAGCTGCACAAAAGGTGTGAGGGGGGTGTGTGTGTGTGTTGCCAGTTAAACTGGAGACTGTCCTGGTACTATTAGTTTGAAAGAGGTGCTTTAGCTATTTGTTTTTACCTTTAGTTGACATAAGCATTAAATTTATGTTGGTATTTGTGCTTCATAGAGTATATATTTAATATTTTGTTTTAGTTAGATCTCATATCTTTATTCATTTGTATCTGTATTTTTTTTCGTTTTTTTTTTTTTTTTTTTACAGAAGGTTTGAAGTCTCAAGTTGCTCGCCACAGTCTAAATTATATACAGGAAATCGGGAGTGGCTGGTTTGGAAAGGTAAAATCTTTTCACTTTCACTTTTTTCCCTCCTGATGACACACTGTAGGATCTGAAGCTAAGAACAATGTCACAAGCCATCACACTTTCTCTGTGGACACTAGTGCAAACAGAGCTTCCCCTCGCCCTGTAACTGCACAGGCCTGTGAATTTCCGTAGTCCTGGTGCGTGACTCTTTGCAAGAGGTCGTCTTAGTCTGCTCGCGCTGCTATAACAAAATACCATAAACTGGTTAGCTTATAACAACAGAAGTTTGTTTCTTATCTTTCTGGGGATTGGGGAGTTCCAGATCGAGGTACTGCTTGCTGATCTGATTTCTGGTTCATAGATGGCACCTCCTCACTGTGTCCTCACATGGTAAAGGGCAAGGCAGTGCCCTGGAGCCTTTTGTTGTTGTTGTTTTAGAAGAGACACGATCTCACTGTGTTGTCAAAGTTAGCCCTGAACTCTTGGGCTCAGGTGGTCCTCCTGCCTCAGTCTCCCAAAGTAGCTGGTACTGTAGGCATGTACCCACCAGGCCCAGATTGCAGCCTTTTTATAAGATACTAATCCCATTCCTTCCCAGAGACACCACCTCCTAATAGTGCCACATGGTGGTTAGGTGTTGACATTTGTGTTCGGAGGGCATACGTCCTTAGCCAGTCTTCGCTTTTATTTGTTTATTTGTTTATTTTTGGTGCACCATTCTGGGAGGTTCTGCAATACCAGGTCGATGCAGGGAGTGGACGGAGCAGCTCCTATTCCACCTCCTTGTTCCAAAACTCCGTTTACTGTATCGTCCTCAGAGGACGCATCAGGTATTAAACTGATAAGAACAGATACTACACTCGATCTTAGCCAGAAGGCTGAGAAGTGATGTCATTGTTTTAAATGTATCAGAGATTTGTCTAATTGTCAGCATAAGAGCAGTCAGAAGAGAGGAGGTCTGGAATTGCGAAGCTTGTTCCCTTGCTCCAGTTAAATTCTGTTTTCTTCCTCTCTTCTCCTCTCCCTACTGCACTGTGAGTGGTTAGAACTCTGGGTACTGGTGTTGGATGCACCTCAGGAATTTGACTGTGAGTGGAGTGGATAATGACTCCATGATCTGCTTGGCTTTTGGAAGGATGGCTCTCACAGTGAAGCTGCTCAGGGCCAAGGTGAAAGCCAGGAAGTTGGTTGGAAGGCTGCTGCAGGCATCCAGGGCGAAGTTCACGCAGGTGTGGACCCAGATGCTGGCACAGGAGAAGTAAGGTTTCCATATGTGAGCGTGCAGGACTCAGGACTCAGTGGATATGGAACCTGGAGGAAGGGAGCAGTCGAAGGGTAGCTTGAATAACTGGAGGAGAGGTGTTGCCCTCAGCCGAGATGCCAGGGGGCTGAAGGAGGAGGAGGAAGGCAGTAATTCCCTGTGTGGACACCTGTGTGATGATGTCAATTAGGCAGCTGGAGGTGCAAGTCTGGAGTTCAAGAGGGGCTTCCAGGACAGAGGGATAAATTTGGGAGCACGCAGTATATAGACAATATTTAAAGCAATGAGTCTACACCACATCGTCAGGAATTTCAGAATAAAGAAGAGGGGGCATAGGCGCCCTGCGGCTCTGCAGTGGGGAGAAGTCAGCACTGTTGGAGAACCAGGGAAGGAGGTTCAGAAGGGGCACCTATGAGTGGGAGGAGTCCAGCACAGAAGAGCTTCTGAAAGCTCTGCCCCGACAGGATCAGTTGCGGCAGTGTCATGGCCTAGGGCGAGGAGAATTGAGGGCAGGAAGCTGTTGCCCATGCCTGTGTGGGGAGTGCAGGGGAGAAGGGAAATTGTGGGAGCACAGTGGAGGTTGCTCATAGGCACCCAGGTGGCATCTCTGGAAGTGGGCAAAGGCAGGTGTGCAGGCAGGTTCCGTGCACCTGGTGGTAGAGAGAGGAGGTTCCCTCTGGTGCTAGTGCAGAGGACAGGAGGCCAGCCCCTCCCCTAGCAGGAGCAGAGACAAGATGCATTGATGGTTTAATGTGGAAGGCATGACAGTCTGGGACACAGTGGATCACTCGGGAATCTGGAGGGGTGGTGGGCAGTGTTGGGGACCCTCACCCCACTTGAAATGAGAGCAGTTGTCCTTCTGGTGTTTCACTGTAAGCTGGCAGTTGGATTTAACCAGCATGGAGGTTTGACTAAGCTAATCTAGTGCACCTCAGAGAGTGGGGACAGTGAGGGAGGGCCAGGCTGTGGTGTGGTCCCATGGATGAGTTTGGAAGGCAGGGTGGACTCTTGCAGTTGAAGTGTTGAAGCAGGTGGCTCAAGATAAAGGCCTGCTAGAGAAGGATGTGTCAGAATTCAAGGTTGGGAGCATATGGTAATGGGTCTAGATCTGTGGAGTGGACACGGCGATCCAACCCTGTGAGAGGTGTTGCTTGAGGCTTCCTGAAGGTACTGCACACCGAGAATGCTGGTGATGATGCCTCCATAGTGTGGGAGCCCCTGGCCCTCCCCTGTATGAAACTGGCAGCTTAAGTCTGTCATGTGCATTGTGTATGCACAGCCGGTTGTTTAAGGCACTGGGTGTGGCTCAGTTCATTAGACTCTTGTTCTCTCAGTTTTCTGCTCTTACATTCCTAATAAATGCATTGAGTTCCAGGGCATTAAAAAGAGTCTGTCTGCTTTATAAGAATATGAAAAAGTATTTCCCTTCTAGCCAGTTCCTGTGGGAGGTAGATCACTCTCGTCTTGCGTTCTGTGAAGTGGGATGTTTGGTGTGTGTTGACTGAAGTTCTGCAAAATAAGGGCCTGCTATCGTTGGAATGCCGTGGATTTTTAAAGTTGATTGTGCACTGGATATTTTTCAGCTTACTTCCTCATGTGCAGAAGACTGACAGCTTAGTTGAAGTGCTCAGAAGCATTTGAAGTATGTTTGAATTGAACTTTACTTATTGCTCTTTTGTAATGTCAGGGTTTATTTCCATGAAAATACATTTAAAATAAATTGCAAAGATATAAGTAGAGAGATAATTTGTATGTGTGCACACATACATAAAACATACAAATGTTGTAAATATCTGATGAATAGTTTAAAATGAGTCTTCCCTTCCCTCCCTTTGTTTCTTTTTCTCTGTCTTCTTTCTCTCTCTTTCCCTCTTTTTTTTTTTTTTTTTTCCTTTCTCTTTCCCACTCTTTCACCCTGTCCCTTTTTCTCCTCACTATGTAGCCCAGGCTGGCCTGGAGCTTGCGTTTCCCCTCCCTCCACCTCCAGAGCACTGGGATTGCAGGTGTTTGCTACCATGCCCACAGCTAAGCATTTGAGTTTTCTAAGCTTTTTCTGTGGAAGTATGTAAAGTAATGCAAGGCCATCTTGTTGCTTCATTTGTTTTCCTGCATTCCATTTCCTGGTAAGTGAGATCTCCTCTGTTGTCTTGGTGAAAGTAACACAGGAACCTATCCTCTGGTTTTAGGTCCTCCTTGGAGAGGTTTACACGGGCAGCAGCGTGGCGAGGGTGATAGTGAAGGAGCTAAAGGCCAGTGCCAACCCAAAGGAGCAGGATGCCTTTCTGAAAGATGGCGAGCCCTACTAGTAAGTGAGCTTTGGCTCAGCAAGCAGTCTTTGAACACTTGGCTTTGAAAAACAAGTGTTTAAAACTACTGGGGGATTTCTCCCTGTAATACCCAAGATTAAATAAGATCCACAGTCTCACAAGACCCAAAATGTCCACGTTTCAACTGAATATCACTTATCAGTATAACATACAGAAGGACTCAACCTGAATAAGAAAAAGACAACTGACACCATACTGAGGTGAGAGAGATGCTGGAATTACCTGGCAAGGGTTTTAGCAGCTATCATAAAAACGCTTCGTGAGCACAGACTGCACACTTGAGACAAATGGAAAAACCCCGAAGTCTCAGCAAAGAAATAGTCACCAAGAAGGCGGGCATGGAGGTTTAGCATGAGCAGGTGAGCTTGCCAGGGGGTTGGGGCACAGAGTCAGTGAGGCTGAGGATCAGGAAGAGAATCAAGCCACAGGGACATGGGGTGTAGAGGAAGATCTGACACTTGTCATAGATGTTCTGGAATGAAAGGAGAGGAGGATGGGGTTGAAAAGGCATTCAAAATAATAACAGTGGTAACAGCGGCTGTAAGCTTCCCAGACTTGGAAAAGACAGAACCACAGGAAAAGACAGAACCTCAACAAGATAAAGCCAAATTTCTGAAAACTTCTCTTAAAATCAGGGAGAGAGAAACCACATCTTACCTGTAGGGAAAGCAATTTGAATGGTAATGGATTTCTCACCTGAAACTCTGGAGGCTACATTGAAATGGGACAGTATTTTTTTCAAGTGATAAATATACTTCAGGACAAAGGGGATGTCAAGACATTGTCAGATGAAGGAGCACTTGGAGAGTTCATTACCAGCAGACTCCCCACCCCCTGAGCTGAGCTTAGTGGTACACAACTGTAATCCCCACACTCAGGAGGCAGAGGGATGGGGATCAAGAGTTTGAGGCCAGCCTGGGCTACATAGCATGACTCTGTCTCAGAGAGAGAGGGAGAAGGGAAAAAAAAAGAGTCTATCCTAAAAGAAAGACAAACTTTTCTAAATGCAAAAGAAATGATAAAAGAATGAATCTCACAACATCAAGAAGGAAGATGGAACAGCAGAAAGAACAAAAATTCTCAACTTGATGTCCTCCATCTCTGGGTTAAGTAGCTCAAGCCTGTTATCCCAGCTACTGGGAAGACAGAGGTCAGGAGGATTGTGATTCAAGCTCAGCCTGGGCAAAAAAAAAGTTGGCAAGACCCCATCTTGACCAATAAAAGCTGGGTGTGTGGTGGCATGCACCTGTCATTCCAGCTACATGGGAAGCATAAATAGAAGGAGTGCAGTCCAGGCTGGCTTGGTTATAAGCAGCGAGAGCCTGTTAAAAAAAAAAAAAAAAAAAAACAGCAAAAAGGGCTGGAGGTGTGGCTTAAGTGATAGAGCGCCTGTCTGGCAAGTGCAAGGCCCTGAGTTCAAACCTTAATACCACCAACATAAAACAAAACAGTGAAAAGGCCAACCCTACATCTAGTGTCATACTTCTGGTGACAGTGATCAGGACAGCACACAGGTGTTCACTCTCACTGCTGTTAGCATAGCACTGGCACTTCCAGGCAGCTTGCTAAAGCAAGTGTCTTTGTATGTAGATGACTTGACGTTTCAAGCAGAATCTATAAAATATCTCTAGAACAAATAAGTGAGGTCAGCAGGGTTGCATGGTATGAGATGAACATAGAGAAGTTGGTTGGGCAGGCAGTGTGGCTCAGTTGTAGGGCACTTGCCTAGCACTTGTGAGCCCCTGACTTCAGTCCCCAGCACCCCGTGCACACAAAAATTTAAAGTCAGTTTTATTTCTATAAACTAGTAATGAGCATGTGTAAACCAAAATTAAGACCATAATAACATTTACACTTACTCAAAACTAAGGTAGACACTTAAGTGGCAGGGTACACAGGACATGTATGCTGATGAAAGACGCCAAAGATCTAAATAAATGGGGAAGTGGACCACGTTCATGGATTGGAAAACTCAGTGTCGGGCTGCTGATCCAGTTGATTTCCGGTGAGATCCCAATGATGCTTAAACCTGCGCACAAGAGGCACACAGCATGTGCTTCAGCAACCCATGAACCAGAAATCAGCAGTACAGAGAAGACTAATCCATCACCCTCTGCAGGGATGGCTTGCAAACTTGCTCTTTAAAGCAGAAAAACAAAGGTTATTAGAACACTAAAGAAGTAGAAGAGCCAAAACAAGGGGAAATGGAGTTATGTAATACCTGGATCGACATGCTTATTGAATTTGTGTGTTTATCTACCTCCTCCTTGTAAATTTGTCTCCTGTGTTTAAGGGCTACCTCAAAATATTTATATCTACTCTTAAACCCATAAAGGTAAAAATTCCTATGTTAGGGTTTTTTTTTTTTAATTTGTGAAAATACTTGATTGGCTTTGAATTGTTTAATCATTAACTAACTTAGTCTGCAAATGTTAAGTATAGCCTTTTTTTTGTTGGTTCTTTTTCTTTCAGCACTGGTGTGGGAACTCAAGGCCTCATGCCTGGTAGGCAAGTGTTCTGCCACTTGAGCCACGCTCCCAGCCCTTTTTTTGCTTATTTTTTAGGTAGGGCCTCAAATTTTTGCCCAGGGCTGTCCTTAGACTAGGATCCTTCTACCTGTGGTCTCCCTGGGAAGCCAGGCTCATAGGTGGGTATTGATTAAGATGGGGTCTCACTAACTTTTTGCCCACGCTGGCCTCACACTGCGATCTTCCTGATCTCTGCCTCCTGAGTGGCCCGGATTGTGCCTGTGAGCCATCACACCTGACCGTTAATATAATTTTAATGTGGATTTTTCAGTTGGTCATGATGCATTTAAATCACGCTGAATGTTAAAATTTGTATTGCTGTCTAACGGTTTTACCATCCTTCCTGAGCTGTAACTCTTGTTTTCCTCAGTGTTCTTCAGCACCCAAACATTCTTCAGTGTGTCGGACAGTGTGTAGAAGCCATTCCTTACCTGCTGGTGTTCGAGTTCTGCGACTTGGTAAGCTCTCGGTCGACATTCGGGTTTTAGCATTTGAAGGGTTGCATCCAGGTGTCTTTTTGACTGGGGAGCAGGGGCTGCTTTCGCGTTCGCCCCTCGTTTGAACAATAAATTTTAACTGGCAACTCCGTGGTGCTCATGATCCCTCAGGCCCTGTGCTAGGTGCATCCTGCAGATGACCTCATCAGTACCTGAGTTACCACTGGTACTTCTGTGTGCTTTACATCTGGCTAAAATAAGCTTCGTGCAGTTGAAGAGGACCTTGTGTGCCAAGAGCGTGGCGGAGCTGGAGTGTGGGCTGCTGTGCCCTTCCCAGGAGCCTGGGGTCCTCATTCAGCCAGGCCTTTTGAGATTGGGTTTTCCCCATTGGGAAGCCCATGAGAACTCTTACCAGTAGCTGCCCTTGATCTGTCTGTCTGTCTTTGAAAATCGTATGTGTAACATACCGCTAAAGAGTTAGATGGCTTGTTTTCTTCACTTCTTCCATGATGATGCTCACAGACTTTGAGTTGGAAGGTTGACTTTGTGCAGTTTTGTGAACTATTTTAATATTTTCTGTGTGAGAGTTCCCTCTTTTCCCGTGTGCAGAATATTTTGTCTTTTTTACCTGTTTTTAACACATAATTGTTATTTTTCAAAGACAGTGGTAAGAATGTGATTCACTTTGCTAGGTTTTAACTGATCTCTTTGCATCCCCTCAGTTTCCAGAACATTCAGACTTCTTTGGCTGTGCACAGAAAAGTGGCAGTACTGAGAACGTTTGCTGCTGCTAAGATGGGTACTGCAGTAAACATTGTGAATTTTTGCTTTGCTTCCTAAATGTGCTTTGAATGTTTTTCTCCTTGGCAGAGGTGGTTAATTGCCAAGTAGAGTGTGTTAATAAGCTTGCTGTCTTGGTTTTCCTTGGACCATACCATAGTGACTCCAGAGCTCCCTGGTTTGGCTTACAGCAATAAAGAAGTCCTCACCTATCTCGGCTGCTGGCTTTGGGTCAGCTGCCCCTCTTCCAGGCTGTACATCCTCTCTGCAGTTGGTGATTTGTCTCTATAACTGTGGCCAGCATGAGCATACACACCAGTATGTGTTCCAGCATTGCAGACAGTGTGGCTTATCAGGCTCTCAGGTCAAGCTTATGAGGTGGTTAAATTTCCTGTTCCCCTCTGAATTTGGGGGAGAAGGCAGTTGGAATCAGGTTTCCCTCAGTTATTGAAAGACCTGTTAAAATCCCCCACTTTGATTATGGATTTTCCTTATAATTCTGGTTGTTTCACTTTATTGATAGCTGTTGTGGAAGGGCTACAAATTTAGAATTTGGTATGAGTTCCTCTAATTTGGACTTTTAATCATTGTGAGAAGGGCTCCCTTGAAGGTTAAAAGCATTGTTAATGAAGAATGTGTGATGTTAACATGGTTGCTTAGAATTTGCCTCTTTTTGGTTAGGTTTATCTTGTTCATTTCTTTCCGTCTCTGGTAAATAGCTTATTATTACAATTTTCATTAGCCTGGAAATCTTGGTCTCTTAAAATGGAGCATATAGTCTGTTACTTTTTTTTATGGTTGGTGAGGTGTTTGTAATTTTCTCTGCCTATTTGGTTTCAGTTTTCCTCAGCTGTTTTGAAGTTTAGAAATGGTGGCTTGAGTTTTGTGGCTACTCAGTAGAAAGTACACATGCATATTTAACTGTACAAGGTCTAGAATTGATCAGTATTTTAAACCTGTCCCAAAGAAGTCAGGACCTCATAGAGCCCTCACTGCATGTAAGGAAAACTGGGATTCAGTTTGTATTCCTGGGCTGCTCCTACCGTTTCCTCCGTGGTGGAGATGCGTGTTCACAGAGCACTTACTGTAGTAGGGCAGCATGCAGCACCCCTGAGATGCAGAGGTGAGAAGTGGTCGTTGTCCTCATGATCTCCAAGTAGGATTAGCTATTTAGTAAGAGTATGAAGACTAAGAAGAACCTCACTGGGGTTTTTGGACATCTTATTGCACCTTATGTTCTGTGTTGATTACTTCAGTGTGATTGCAGTTATGATATTTGAGATACTGGGTGATTATGATATGGATATGCTTCCTTCTCATCTGGCTCTGCATGAACAGAAAATTCTAGTGCTGACAGAACACTGAGGTGGGCCTGTGTGTGGGGAACAGGTCTGCCTCTCACAAGTCCCCTTCTCTGAAGTGTTGAATGTCCCTAAGCTCCTGATGGTGATGACATGTGACAGTTGAATTGCACTCCTCATCAGTGCCCATGGCAGAAGCACAGCAGGAAGCAGCACCTGTTTCTGGGCCAGCTGAGGAGGCTGTAAACTATCTTGGGTCCCCCGCACTTCTGTTCTCTGCAGCCTTCTGCGTTCGCTCATGGATGTCTTACGGAGGACTGTTGGGGATTTTCCTGGAGTGATGCTCAGCTTAGTGTTTTATCCTGAGCCTGCTCAAGATGGCTTGGTTTTGGTGAATCGGATTTACTTTTTATTGGAGCTTTCTGTTGTTTGAAGGAGTAGTAATTTAACCTGTTTTATAAAGAAACTGAAAACATAGCCAAATACACAAGTCCCTTACTGTTACTTGAAAAATGACCTGGTGCTAACAGTATTCTTGAGTATTCTTGTGTCTTTTCATTGTATGGACATCAGTTTTATGAAAATATAGCAAATACATACATTCTTTGTTAATAATTTCCCCTTGGCACTTTTAGACCTTGGATTTAAGTAAGTGCATGTTATCTAGGTAATTAGAGTAAGTTTCAAAGCGTATTAACTTACGTTTGATTGGCTTTGGGGCTGAAAGTATGGCTCAAGTGGTAAGAGCACAAGCCTTGCAATCAAGAGGCTCTGAGTTCAAACATCATACCACAAAAAGAAAAAAAGAATTGATTGGCTTTTATCCTTTGGGTGAAGATTACACATGCAACCCCTGCAGTTCACAAGTGTGACTTCTGGAGCATATGTTTGTGTGATTATCCAAGTTGCTGTTCTCTCCTGATGGCTGAAGATCAGGCCCTGTCCCCACCAGAGCTTCCATGGACAGTGAGGAGAATAACTGTTTCTAACAAGGGGACAGTAGTCAGCAAGAAAAATTGAAAACCATCATTGTCCTGCAAAACGCTCAAATAGAATGGCCACTCTGTAGGATATTCCCAAGGAAGTGACAGCAGGGTCGTCATCGGATACCCAAGCTTTATTTGTGGTGACCAAGGGCGGAAACAAGCCTGGTGTCCATCTGTGAATGGTTAGACAGAAGATAGCACATATACTGGAGGTTATTTAGCCTTAAAGACAAAGGGAAATCTGACACATAATATAACACAGTGAAGCTTGAGGATATGATGCGAGGTGAAATAAAGTATCTCCAGTCACACGAGGGACCTTGAGCAGCCAGATTCATAGATGCAGAAGATTGAAGGTAGCTGCCAGGGCTTGGGGAAGGGAGGAGGGCTACAGTCAATGGGGGCAGAGTTTCGGTGTTGCAAGGTAAGAAAGTACTGTACGTGGGTGGAGTTGGTGGCGCCACAGTGCGAAAGTGCTTACTTAACACCACTGAAGCATGCACTTAGCAGTGGGTAAGGTGGTAAATTGTATGTTGAGTGTTTTTGCCACACCCACACCCATTGAAGTTACCCACCACGAGTGTCCTGGAAGGAAGCTGGTCTGCCCTTCGGAATTGTCTGCTGTTATCCCAGGATCCCTCTAATTTGCCCAGCACTGAGAAGTCACATTTGTCTCCATGGATCAGCTTCTCTGGGCCCCAGAAAACCTCAGGGAGGCAACTGGTTCTCCAGCAGTGAGGAGTGGGGCCCTGACAGCGTCACTGTCCACTGGCCCACCAGCCCAGAAGTCTGCTACTCTGGGCTGTTTGGGCAGAGACCCCATGGCAAGAGCAGCAAATGGTGTCAGCCTAGGGAGCCAAAGAAGCCTCCCGCCTGTCCAGGCTGTAGGGATGTCCCCAGGACACACCCGACCTTGCTTGGACACTAATCCAGCTCCCCACCTGCATGCCCAGAAACAGGCCAGCCTGCACAGAGGAGTGTAACCCAAGGCAGGAGCCACCTTCTGGCCACAGTCCCAAGCCAGCCAGAAGTCACTCGGCCACAAAGGCCAGCTGTCTCCACATGTTCTCGGGTTGATGCACGGTGACCATGTCAATGATAACATCCCCAAGAGAAAGGAAGAAAATGTTTTGCATTTAAGTAATGCTGTATGGAGGACTAGCAGCCTGACTTTAGAAAGCGAGTGAAAACCCTGCTGAGTGAGTTGCTTGCTGCTGTGCACCCACGATCAGTGTGATGGTGGCGATGCCTGTGACCCAGGGTGGGGGTTTCTGAGGGACACTGCCCTGGCAGTGCCCGGTGCTCCACAGTAGTCAGGTCGAGGCAGTGGTGGCTCGTCCTCAAAGCACCGCTCAGAGCAGCTGTGCACTGAGCGTGCAGGCAGCGCAGAGCGCTCGGGATTCCGAGGGGATCCAGCCAATCCCTCTCCTCTTGTCTGGCAGGGGCACTGGCAAGATTCCACCCACAAAGTGAGGTGAATGATACTGGTGAAGCACAGAAAGTGCTCAGGGAGTGGTAGTTACTTTTACTCGCTTAAATGATGACAACTGCTAAATAGATGAAGGTTTGAGGGACCTTGACAGCACTTCTGAGATAGATTGCTCAGTCTCAAAGTAAACAACCAATGTGCTGCTGGAAGAAGGAAACTAAAGCGAAGTTTGTTTGTTTTTGTGGTACTGAGACTGGAGCACTGGCCTCAGGCATGCTGGGCATGGTCTGCCACCGGGTGCAACTGGCCTCAACCCTAAGGTGGATGAATATGTTCAGAGGCGGGAAGTTGGACTGGGATCACTGGGGAGGCTTCATAGGTCTCTAAGACTGGTTGCTCTGAGTCCTGGAGAGTGAGTGGACAGACTATCTAGGCAGGAAAGGCTGGCAGGAGCAGCTGAGCCAGGCCTGGAAGCGTGGCAGAGCCAGCACTAGTCAATGTAGCTGGAAGGCAGGGGCAGCCAGC